CATTGGCTGATTAAGAGATGTTATTAAGGGATGGAGCTCTCATTTGACTAAATTCTTGGATGCGATCAATTATTGGACTCGTTCTGGAAACAAGAAGCCAAAGAAGCTCAATATTACAGTTATTAGAGACGAGACCGCGCCACAACAAACGAGCGGAGCCAGAGGAGATGTGGTCCTCGTATGCTTGGCGTTGGAGCGTTTGACGACGGGAAGCATCAAGTATCTACCTCCCACCGATAGAGATAAAGCTGCAGTAGGCTTGTGGTTTCGGCATTATATGGCTAAATCGATATATACGAGACGCTGCCTACCTGCATCCGCGTTATAAAAATGTCCATAAACAATTGGTAAGTTTATACTTTTGGTTTGAAAATGTTTGGTTAAGTAACTAGAATTCAATAATTTGTAGAAAGTGTTGTCTGAACAAATGTTTGGTTTCTGCAGGTTAATCTCAGAGTGAACTGCGTGAAAATGATGTCGAGCTGCAAAAGTTGATTCAATAGTTTAATTGATGTTTTTTGATTGTTAATTGATTTGTAAAAGTTGATTCAATAGTAGATGATCGGAAATAAGAATTATTGCTTATTTTTTGATTGTTAATTGATTTGTAAAAGATGATTTGTAAAAGTTGATTGTGTAATTGATGCGAACATAATTCTTATTTGTGCTTGTTAATTGATTGAAATGTAATGGTTGATTTGTTGATTTCAATCTGCATTATGTTGAAGGCAAAAAATGACTATCGCAATGCGAAATGAAAATCGCAACGAGAGAATCGCAATGCGAAATGAAAATCGCAATGCGGAAATGAAAATCGCAATGCGTTTATAATTTCGCATTGCGATTATCTCGTTGCGATTTTCATTTCGCATTGCGATTTTCATTTCGCATTGCGATTCTTTCGTTGCGATTTTCATTTCGCATTGCGATTTTCATTTCGCATTGCGATTTCCATTTCGCATTGCGATTTTCATTTCGCATTGCGATTTTCATTTCGCATTGCGATTCTCTCGTTGCGATTTTCATTTCGCATTGCGATTTTCATTTCGCATTGCGATTCTCTCGTTGCGATTTTCATTTCCGCATTGCGATTTTCATGTTGGGATTTTCATTTCGCGTTGCGATTGTATTTTCCGTGTTGCGATAGTCAAATGCATGCCTAATAGTGATAACAACTGAATAACAAGAGTTGGTTAAGTCAAAATGGTTGGCCTGAGTCATTAATTCAACTGAAAATGTTAAAAGTTCACACATAAAATCCACATAATACAACGTTTGCATTTAAAAATCACCTAAGTTAACAGTCTCAAAAGGTGAAGCCAATCGTGATTGGGATTTTAAAGATGATTGCCTTTGCTTGACACCATATGAGCTTTGGATTTTGATGAGGATCCATATTTGGTAGAGGAAAAGATGATTTTGATGGCACTGGTGATCCACATGTCAACCTTGTATGACCACTTTCCTGCACCGACTACATGTCGATCTCTTCTTCTCTTCACCCTTAGACGGTATACGATCGTGACTTTTTGGTCGGCCAGGTAGCCTTCTGTCCATGGCTGGTGGCAAAACTGTTTGTAAGTCATCTGGTATGTCCCACTCAGAAGGATGTGGAATAGGGTAGACAATCTCGGCATAAGTCTGTCGATAAACTTCTGTAGTGTAGCAATCCATAGCGTATGCGCTTGAATCATCTTGGTTTAAATGAAGAGCAACTTTTATAACATGGCCACACGGATAACCAGATGTTTGCCATTTCATACAACTACACGTCTTTGCATTTAGATCGACTAGCCCATTTAAGTTATTATCCAGTACTTGAAACAAAGTGTTTGAACATGGTTCAACTCTCCATGACGTGACTTCACAACACGTTTCGTTATCTTTTTTTTCAGTCCATGGTGTAACACGATGTTCCAATGTTCCTGTAAATTTAAATAAACAATACTTAGTAAAATATATAAATATGATAAGTTACGAATTCAAAGAAATAATACCTGCATGGTTTCTTTTCTTGTAGTACCACTGTTGAATAGAGGCTCGAAAAAACTCCATTAACATAGTAATGGGTAATTTCCGGGAATGACGACTTAGAGCGTTGATTGATTCTGCACTATTAGACGTCATGAAACCATATCTTGCTCCAAGTTGATGTACTCTTGACCATCTTTCAAACCCGACATCTTCTAGTGTTTGAGCACACTGAGGCAAAACACGTCTTAAACAATTTATATGCTTATTGAAATCCACTTCCCGATAAGCTTTTACAGCCTTCCAGTATGTCCATTTGTGCTTTTTTACCAGCAGACCTTGATTTTAGATTTCTATACAAATGAACACCACAAAGTCCATGAAAAGCATCTGGGAAACACTTCTAACAGCGTTGTCAATGAGTTTGCCCTATCGGATATGATTGTCAGATTGCTAATAGGACCTATGCAATCCCTAAGATGCCCCATAAACCATGTCCATGAATCAGAGGTTTCAGATTTGCCAACCCCGTAAGCTATTGGCAATATCCATTGTTAGCATCCATGGCTACTGCTAATAAGTTTACTCCAAGGTATCGACCTTTCAAATGTGCTCCGTCAACTATAATAACTGGGCGCATGCAAGTAATAAACGAACGAATCTACAAAATAATATACACAAGAAATATAATCATTTAAATGTGAAATGCATGTAACTAACAAAAATGAGTCAACAAATTATATTGATTTACTAACCGTAGCACCAATGGCGATAAACAGCAACTCAAAGCGTCCATCTCTATCTGTTTTGATATGAGTTACCGACCCAGGATTTTTCAGCTTTAAATTGTGACAATAAGCCGGCAGTTGGGCAAACGATGCTTCTGGCGACCCCTCAACAATTCCAAGGCATAACATTTGGCTCTCCAAGCTTGAGAATATGATATACTAATCTTGAACCGAGCATTCATGTCAGTCATAATTTCATGTCCCCGATATACCCTGCCATTCAAAAACATTAACTCAGCCAGAAAACCACCCAACACCTTTTTGTTTGCCTGTCTATGGTGAGGAAAAACGAGGGTTCTTGAACATGTATGTTTATCAATAAAAGTCCTAACTTGAAACATTTTGCAATCTTTTATTCTCTTGCAATCATACGCCACGTACAGTTTTTGTCAATCATACACCTTGTTTCGAAACGATCTTTGCTTGATTTGTTAACTTTTAGTTGATAGCCATCTTCCACACATTTTGTATACAAAGCTATCTTCAAGTCTTCCTTTGTATCAAAACAATCATCTTTCTTGACACGAATAACTTTTGTGTAACAATCAACTGCTTTCTTTGCCAACTCTTCTTCCGGTAATGAAGTAATTCTGGCATATTCCAGTTATACTCCCGTGGCATTTTCTTTTCTTCGGGGACTTTTTCTTCTTCTTTTTCTTCTTCAGGATTATATGAATTACAGAATGGATGTTCAACATGTTCATTCACAGTCGTAACTTCCTCCTCATTATCATCAACAACATCTTCCTCGGCAACGGGTGTTTCATCATCAAAATTCGGGTATTGACCAATATTAAAATCATTACACACATGGTCTGTTCTTCTTCTGAAACATCATCAAAATCCGTGTATTGACCAATATCAAAGTCCGGATATTGACCAAGACCAAATTTCGAATACTGACTAGTACTCACAATTTTTCTGTTGGCTCATCATCGTCTAACTGGTCAATACGAAAACCGGAATTTGGTGCTGAAAGTTGATTGGGATTTGGATTAGAGAAAGGTTGTGGGTTTTGAGAAAAACTTAGTTGATTACTACCGCTACTGACCCAACAATACTACTTCTAGGTTCAACAACATACAATGTAACATCATCTTGTGAAACACTAATGTAAGCAATGAATCGTTCAACATCTTCATTGTCGGTTAACAAATAAACTTTACCATTTCTCTGATAAGATAGCCTAAATCCACTTAGGGGCTCTAAATTCAATTTATTTGAAACACGTAGCATTAGAGTTTCATAAGTTAACTTTTGTAAAGACAATTTTAGTTGAAGATTCATGGGTAAAGGCATATATTGTAAAACACATGAACATTATCCCATGACCCTCCAAAACACAAATCTATCCAAACATGATCAGATGATTTCATGGTTGTAAATTAATTTACTAAACAGACGAGCTGCGAAACTAAAACCTGTTGCCGGATTGGGAAGGATGTCGTTGGATATAGGAACGGATGTCGCGGAGAGAGTGATAGATGGAGATGGAATGAGTTGCGATTTAGGGATTTAGTTTATGATTTCAGTGTTATATACCCAAAATTTCAGTGTTGTGATTTACAGATTCTCGTTGCGATTTACGGATTATCGTTGCGATTTACAGATTCTCGTTGCGATTTACGGATTATCGTTGCGATTTACGGATACGCGTTGCGATTTACGGATTATCGTTGCGATTTACGGATACGCGTTGCGATTTACGGATACGCATTGCGATTTACGGATACGCGTTGCGATTTACGGATACACGTTGCGATTTACGGATACGCGTTGCGATTTTATGTATTATCGTTGCGATTTACGGATACGCGTTGCGATATACGGATACGCATTGCGATTTACCCATACGCGTTGCGATTTACGGATACACGTTGCGATTTACGGATACGCGTTGCGATTTATGTGTTCGCGTTGCGATTTTCATATTCGCGTTGCGATTATTGAAAATCGCAATGCGAATTTGTACTATCGCATCGCGATTTTCAAGAATCGCGTTGCGATTTTGGAAACTGATTTGCGATTCTGGGGATCGCGTTGCGATTTTTATTTCGCGTTGCGATTTTGTTGGTCATTTTGGCAAATCCAAAAAAAGTTGGTTAAAATCGTATATTATAACTTTTTTTTGGTCACTGAGGCGATTTTCTCTTAAATATAAGATGGCCACAACAGATACTAATAAGAATCTAGAACTGGTATATGAATGGAAATGCTTGCATTTGTTAAAAGTAAGCTCACCTCAGTGCACCACGTATCCCTGCCCGGCTGAACCACATCAATGTCCAAAACAACCGCTGAAGTTATTTAGTTACAGATAAAGAGATTCCCAGTCCATTCATCAGCCATGCCGTAGTCAATGCCAAGCTCTATCATAGGAGGGATATTCTCCATTGCAAAAAGCATAAGGTGAGGGAACATCAAGTTATTGTGATCAAACAAGACATATTGCACTAGCACATTTGGTCTGGAAGTATGGCTAATATAACAAGCAACATTCCTCATCCTTGATACATCCATTGCAAAATCCAACGGTGCAATTGAGGGATATGACGGATGCACATATTCTGCAAATATTTGAGACAAATTCCCCCATTCTGTCCATCGTTCAGAAAATCGATTGGGATAAATCAATGTATCACCATTCATCGAGAAAATTTGTGCTTGCTCACTAGTTAGAACTACACCTGTATATTCACATATGAAAGCACCAGCATGTATCAATTCCAAGGATCTAACTCCCCATCCTGTTTCTCTTGACCTAAATATTTCCATTCTGTTCCTCAAACCAAGACACCAAGTTGCGAAACACGGTTCCGACAAGTTGGTGGGCATTGACAGAAATTCCCACATTCAAATATCACTGGTTTCCCGCTCAAGAGAAAACCATTATAATCATAGGCAAAATCACCCCCATTCTTCAAAGAACAAACTGTGCACCCCGAAACACACTGACATCCAGTACAATTGCTCGCTTGACTAAATGCATATGGAGGAAACACGGAGTTCGCAAGATAATCATAATACATAGGATCATGATCACTATCGATATCATTATAAAGAAAAACCGGAACTTTCTCGTTTTTCATAGATATATCAAGAGTCAAATACCCCATCGGCCTAGCAGACAAAGGAGTCCTAAGACTCAGCAAACCTCATAATTGAACTACCCATCTCAGGTTGACCATCGATTCTCGACAATTTATATTTATAAACACCGAAACCGGACTTCCTCATATCAAACCAACAATCAAGAATTTTATATAAACCATCATAGACATAAACTTTACTTGAAACTTTATTCTCACATTTAATCCGTCTAATAACTCTTACCTCGATTCCATAATGCATGCTCCTTTCTAGAGCTAAATTCCCTCCTTCAAGCTTCTGATGCATACATTGCCTTGAAAATTTATCTTGTCCGCCATGACCGGTATATATTATTGTGTCACACGCATCTTGATCGTCCTCATATCCACCTGAAACAATAACGCTGGTGGCAGTTGGCTCTCCATTTGAGCTTTGGCTCCCAGACAAGTAATCAATTCCTGCTTGAACTTGCCCATGTAACCCCACCACACAAAGCTCCATTCTGAAAAAGAATGTCACCTATTTCAATACCTGGGATAGCACCCACTATTCTTTTATCACGATTTAACCACATCCCTCGGTCCCTCATCACCGCGGCAGCCCTCAAATCTCCGCGCGCCCGTCGCCCGCTCCCCGGCCCCATCCTCTTTTCTTCCTCCGCAATGGCCAATATTCGGATGAAATCGTACATCATTCGTGTTCTTCTGACAACATCCCGGAAGTTCCTCTCATCTTCGATTCCCAAATTCGTCACCCGAACCAACTCATTGGACCTTCGACGTGAAACGACGACGGAGAGATCTTGGTCCGGTTTGGAGGCGTCAGCTGCAGTTATTTCGGAGGTTGGTTGCGGTTCTCCGGGTAGGGGTACGGGCACAATGGCCCCAGAATCCGGGTTAAGTACTTTGACGTCGCCATATTTTTGTAATTTATGGGCGAAAGCGGATCGGAAGAGCTCGGAAATTCGGAAATATTCGGAGTACAGAGCGTAACCACACAAAATCCATCCATGCATGCATCAATCTATCCATGATCCCAAAGCTGTCAGCTTCAACCTTGGACCCATCCATGCATCAATCTATCCATGTCTCAGACAGTAACCACCTCAATATCCCAACAGAGGCAATTAAAGGAGTCGCAACAAAGAATGACCAATTGGCCATGGTTGAATAACCACCTTGGGTGATACTGTTCCTTCCTCTTTATCTCATGAATTTAAAGTTTTCATGTGGAATTCTCAACAGTATATTCGGGACCATAATCCCGATATTATGGGCATTGTGGAAACTAGGATTAACAAAAGTAATGCCGACATGTCATTATTACCCTTAATTTCCTCAACTCCTTAAGAGTTATAGGCTTCTTCGAGGGTATTTGGATTTGCTGGTATGACAAAGTTCATATAGATATCATTTTCAGTCATTTTCAATTCATTCATCGCAGGGTCCGTTCTTAAATTGATAACAATTCAATCCTTGTCACATTCACTTACGCTAGCCCTAATTATTCTAAACGTAAGTATCTTTGGTCTTACTTGAAACGCCTCTCGCACCACATCTCTAATCATTGGATTATGGGTGACTTCAATGCCACCCTTTCTCCTAAAGACTGCAAGGGCTGCTCGACCTCAAGCAGCCCTGTCAAAGATTTTGTCAGCACCATGTAATTGTGATGTTCATCTTGATCGTTGTATCTACAATGCTTCTTTGCTTGAAGCCTTCCTGGGCACAGTCGTCCATCACCTCATTCACATGAAGTCTGACCATAGATCCCTCCTCGTGCACTTTGGCTACCTCCACAATCGCATCAAACAACGTCAATTCATGTATTTCTTTAGCTGGCTACACCACGTTACTTTAACAAAATGGTCGAGAACAACTAGGACTCTTCGTTTCCTCTTAACGAGACCATTCTCAAATTCACCGAAGTTACCGTCATTTGGAATTGCGATGTCTTTGGCTCTATCACCCAAAGGAAACACAACCTCGTGGATAGACTTGGTGGAGTTTAAAGTTGTCTCGACCAAAGCAACTCTTCTTATTTGGTCCATCTCGAATCCCATCTTTTAATCGAGCTCGAGCGCACTTTAAGCCATGAGGAACCTCTTTGGAAGCAAAATTTCGCTCTGATTGGATCAATTTTGGAGATAGGAACAATATTTATTTCCACAAAAAAGCCACAATGAAGAAGCAATTCATGAGTATTTCCTCACTCCAATTTTCGTCCAAAGACTGGTGCTTTGATGAAATCAAACTTCTGGAAGAGGCCATTAACTCTTCAAAAACCTTTTCTCTATTGATAGTACTATCCCGGGTAAATTCTTTCTCATTGGCTTCTTCCCTTCCATTCCCCCCTGGGGAAATACAACGCCTCCATCACATCTCGACACCATTGAGATTAAAGAGGCTCTATTTGCCATGACTCCTCTCAAATCTCCTGGTGGGGATGGTCTTCATGCTCATTTCTTCTAAAAGAACTAGCACATTGTTGGTACTTCTGTCTGCAAAATGACACTAAGTGTTCTTTGGCTCTAATGTTAGCCCTTGTTTCAATAGCACCATTCTTGTGCCCCAAGGTCTAGAATCCTTGTTGCTTTAAAGATTTCCGACCAATTAGCCTCTGCTCAGTCATATACAAGTTGATTTTCTGGTTCATCGCCTTCAACACATTATGCCTAAACTTATCACTCCTAATCAAAAGAGCGTTATCTCGGGCAAAACCATCTTTGAGAACATTATGATTAATCAAGAAGTAGTACACTCTATAAAGACCAAAAAAGGTAAAACTGGTTGGATGACTATCTAGGTGGATTTAAAGAAAGCCTTCGACCGTCTGTGTTGAAACTTCATCGAAGACTCCCTTCGTGGCGTTCAATTATCGTCGGGTGTAACTAAACTTATCCTTCACTGTATCTCTTCGTCCTCCATTCAAATTCAGCTCAATGGCTCCCTTAGCCAGTCCTTCAAACCTGAAAGGAGAGTGAGATAAGAGGACCCGATCTCCCCTTATTTATTTGTTCTTACCATGGAGAGACTTGGCCAGTGAATCAATAAAGCTGTTCAAGACGATCTTTGGAAGCCTTTTCAATTGGTTCGTGGCAACCTTCCCATTTTCCATCTCTTCTTTGTTGATGACCTTATCCTCTATTAATGAAGCAACAGTTGAACAAGCTCGTCTCGTAGACCATATCCTTTGTGAGTTTGGAAATGTTGAACCATTTTTATAATATTTTGATATAATAAATTAAGGTGAAATGTTTTTGGACTTTTGAATTTGTTTAAAATTTTCAAAAATAATTCAAAGCTCATTAAAATTATAATTTGAACACAAAACAGTTTTTTGGGTAAGTAGTACGATATTGTTTTTATAGTATCGATACTATTCATGAGGTACCGTGCCAAATGTAAGAGAAATATCGATACTACTAGTTGTTTTCCAGATTGTTCAAATTTCAAAATGCAAAATTGGTACCGATATTCAATGGATACCAATACTACTTTATCTAATAGTATCGATACCATGAACCCTAGTATTAATACTGGTCAAGCCCAATAGTTTTTAACGGTTAGTTTATTTAAATATTATAAAGGTAGTACTGATACTCCTTATTCTTGACAATTTTATTTTTGCAGAAAATTCATCCCAACGGCTTCAAAACACCGCCAACGGCTAGAAACGACCACAAACTCATTTCAACATATAAAAAAAAAGTTGAGGACACTTGAAGAAGGTTACAATACATATCCAAGCAATAGATATCAAGAGAAAAACTCTTTAACTCTTTATTTCCCTTTTCTCTTGTACATAAGTGTTTAAGCTCATTGCAAACCTTTTATTTATTTTATTGTGAGTTTAATTTTTGTAAACATCTATCTTGTTAGATTTTTTTGTTTACTTCTTTTAACCTTTTGTTAAAAGGGGAGTGATTCTATCTTAGTCTTCAAAAGATATGATTTATAAAGGTTACTCTTGAATTTAGAAAAAAAAAGAACAAATTAGTGAATTTATTAGAAAATCCATAGTGTTAAGCTAAGATAGTAGATATAGACTTGGTTTAGAAGTCGAACCACTATAAATTCTTGTACAAATTGTTTTTCTGTTTATTTCATACCCAAATTTTTCAAAAAACCAATTCTCCCCCTCTTGACACTTTTTAAATTGATCAATTAAGCTTCATCAATCTTAACATTAAACTTCTCTCGTCATAAAGTCAATAAGCATAAATCTTAAGTCTATTCCTCGCCTAATACTAATAATATGGTACGACTTCTGAGATTAGCGCTCATCTTGGGATGCGTAATGTTCATGACCTTAGCCTCTACCTAGTCATTCCTGTTATGCACAAGTGTGCTACCTGTGACTTCTACAATTTCCTCTTAAATAAAATCCGTAAGAAGTTAGAAGGTTGGTCGGCTCGCATACTTTTCTTTGCTGGAAGAGTTACCCTTGCTAATTTCATCCTCACAGCCATCCCTACCTACTTCATGCAAACCTTCCAGCTCCCTGCCTACATTTGCGATGATATTGAGAAATTAATCTATCGATTTATTTGGGGTAACTCTCCTTCCCATCAGGGTATCTTGCTTGTTAATTAGGGTTCTTTATCTCAACCTAAGGTCAATAGAGGCCTCACAATTCGTTAGCTCAAAAACCACAACATTGATTTCCTTATGAAGATTGTTATGGCGTTGTCAACAACACCGACAACTACTGGATCAAATTGCTTCAGCAAAAGTACAAAATCATGGGAAAAACGTTTTTCCCACTTTAATCAATCGCCCTAATTGTTCCCATTTAAGGAGAGCTTCACCAACATTTGGCCTTCTTTTCACGGTTTCCTCACTTGGTCAGTGGATGATGGTGCGTCCACTCGCTTCTGGCATGACGTATAGATCCCTCGCCTTGGCCCGCTGTTCGATCACCAAGCCAGTAGTGTGACCGTCGACGATAACCTCCTTGTCATGGACGTAGCCTCTCCCAATGGAACATGGAATTGGAGCCTTCTTAATAACTTTCTACCAACCCCAATCCTCCATTATTTTCACAATATCACAATGCCCTCTCTCACCGCCGATCATGACCTTTGCAATTGGTACCATGGAAAGCATATCAAATTCTCTGTCAACTCTGCCTACTTCCAGCTTGCCAACACCGCCGGGGAGCCAAAAGACAACAAATGGAATATCATTTGGCACGCACAGGTCCCTGAACGTGTTCGTTACTTACTTTGGCTTTGCATGCGTGACAAGCTCATCTCCAACCTCAACCGCTGGTGCAGAAACCTCTTTGATAATCCTATCTGCAGCATTTGTGGCATCGAGAATGATATCGTCATCCACATCCTTTGAGACTGCCCTACAACGAAGGACCTTTGGTTAGCTATCAGTCAAACTCAATACTTGACAGATTTCTTCGATCTCCAGCTTGAAACCTTGTAACTTCGGAACCTATCTGCTAATAATCTCTTCATTGGTACTGCTACCTCTTGTAACTTCGGAACCTTTGCCATCTTCTCGGGAGAAGGCATGTCCAATGCTCTACTCTCTCGACTTATCCTAGGCGCAACACTATAGCTCTTACTCCCTACTACTGCACACGTTCATTTTGATCCTGAAACCATCCAATGGAAAGCTGCTGAAGAAAGTTGGGTGACCCTCAACACTGACGGCTCGCTCAACGGCTCCACCACTATGGGAACTATCAAATGATTTCATGGCAATCCTATGGACAAAGTAGGTGAGTATTCAATCAAATTATGTTAAAAAAGTTGGAGTTATTTAAGTGTATAAATTCTATTTTATAACTCAAATTTCATTTGAAATTTTGAGTTAAATTTATCGAATTTGAATCGAGTAGAATTATTCAAATATATATTTAAATTTAATTGTAAATATTTATAATATTATGATACTATTTGACATTTCTTTTGTAGGTATAATATATGTTTAAAGATTCAATCATTTAACAATGAACGCTCATACCCCTGTATATGTGGTGCTCGAACCTAGTACCTCAAAGAATAACAAATCTCTTTACCACTGAAGTCGTTTTATTATTTTGATTCGTGTTTAGTGTACAACACTAGACATGATTTTCTGGGGGTTTCTCCAACAATTCAATATCATTTTCTGGGAATTTCTCCAACAATTCCATGGAGATCAGTGTTGTGGAAATCCAATTTACTAAACCAAAATTTTAGAGTAATGAGTACTTAATAAAGATAATAATTCTTCAACATAATTGGATTCACCAACGGAAAAGGCATAATTCGGCCTAATATTTTCTTTACAGTTGAACGCCTACATGAATAACAAATGTACCAAGAATAAAATACACACCACCATGAACAACTGAATGTTGCCTCCATGGTTATGCTGCTATAGTTTCCAAGTGTCAACTCAAAGCACAAAACATCTCTTCGTTGTCCTCGGATAAACGAAGCAGCATATTATGCCAAAGTTTAGTTCCTTAATTACCTACTGTTCTCACTTTTCATGTGTTCCTAAGCTATAAGTTATCAAAAGTAGGACCTTTACCGGCGGTTGAATCTGGATTTTGAACTCAGGGTGTTAAGTCAAAATTAGATTTCAAAAGAGACTGAACTTCATTCAGGGACGAGACCTTGAAATCTGGTTTCAGATCCAAGTTGGCAAAGTCTTGAGAGCTATACCTGCCCTTTTCATCAAGCAAACATGTTACTGCCCCTGCTTGTTTCCCACAAGCCACCTGTAAATACATGATGTAATATAAGGGACCTGATCATCCCATGAACGAAGATGATAAAAGCATACATCACCGGGTCTTTTTCACTTGATTTTTCGTTATCATTTGCTTTGGGCAAAAACACTTACATCATCTTTAAGACTATCACCGACCATCATGACTTCATTTGGTTGAATGTCCCAAGTCGAACAGATATGCAACAAAGGAGCAGGATTTGGTTTATAAGGGCGAAACTCCCGGCTGAGTGCCGGAGAAAACATCATCTGAAACAATGAATGTTGGAAAGATTTATTTCAATCTTCCAATCCAATAAGAAATGTTCAGAATAGTTTGATTCCAAGCTTCGAATAGCTTACCCCGAACCGTTGATGAAACAGATCAACTGCTTCATTGACATTGCGAGTGATTAGTCCCCTTCTGAAACAAATAGAAGCTTCGGTTAACATTTTAAAGACATCATGAAAGAAAGACAATTTGCTATCATTATCAAGTGATATAACTATGGTAACTCGTGTCCAGACAACAGTAAAGCCAAATAGGGCATATATGGAAGTTCATTGATCTAGTGTGAAACAATAACTATTATACTTGCAGTTATCCACATCATGTCTTGTACAGTTATCTTCGTATGAGAAACTCAGTTACATGGACTTGAGAGTAAAAGTCGCATACGGATATATGTTCAAAAAAATTTCCCAAGTTTGTCTGTGTATTTGAAGCATTTTTGGAAGGCAATATCCCCACCCATGTACGAATATGTATTGAGTACAAGTAGTTCAAGCAAAATGAAGAAACCGAGCACCCAAAGATGACAAATAAGTATAGGAGGAAAAGCTAAGGCATAGTGGAACCAGACCTTATTTTCTTTGCATCAAGAAAACCACAAAGTTCAGCCGCACCTGCACCATTATCAACCAAATGTTACAAGCTTATATTGATTAGCATGTAAAATGGGAAAACATGTGAAGTTCTTTAGCTGAAAGAGAGAAACTGCGATAGGTTATATTTTGAACTAAACACACACTATTTCAACTTAAAAGGGAGATCCCAACAACCACAAAGGTAAATTACATAAAATGAAAATTGATCAAAGGAAACACCAAATCCATAAGTGGCATTACAGGTCGAGTAAGATGCACTCCCAAATGGTTGCTACCTTGGAACAATTGGGAACCCAAGAACAAAGCATATGAAGTAGCTAGCTAAATATATTCATAAACTCAGTTCAGTGTCAGAATTTTGCATGAACAATATAGACTCAGCAAACGAACAATCCATCAACTAATTTTACCCTAAATCCAAAAAAAACGTACATTTTCCTAATAAAAATGGGGAAATAGCCATGCTCTATAATAGATCACAACCATTATAATTGAACCACAGAACTCAGCAACCACTCACCAGATATAAATAAACATGGCAACATCACATTCTGAATTCAAAAGGGTATTCTTACATTCTATTCATATTCAAGCATATAACTTGAAACTTAAACTAGAATGCAAAAGGTTCAAATATTGAAAGAATATCTATATAAGAAGCATGCTTTGAAAACCCTTTCCCTCTAACATTTTCCTTCAACGTTTCCAGCCACAGAACACTAACCGGGCATGATTTGGAGGCGATCAAGGCCCTGTTTTTCAAAGTCAGCAATAATCTGATAAGCTTCTCGCTGCTTATCGGTACTCAATTTCTCAATGTGGTGCAAGATATCAATCCCAGAAGGGTTTTCAGCTTTGATTCTCTTGTACTCGTCGTCTCCGAGGACGGCCTTGTACATAGCGGCGAAGTCGATGACAGGGATCGTGAGGGTGCCATCCATGTCGAAAACGACGCCGCGGAGGCGGCGGGGTTTGGAAGCGACGGCGGACATGGGAAGATGGGAAAAGAGAAGGGATTTGGTGGGTAACCGGAGGAAGGTATTCGAGAGAAACGGATGCATTCGAGATAAAAGTGAAAACAACTTTGGGATGCTATTTATGGGATTGAGGATTTGGGGGTATGTGGATTTTGGGGGGCGATTGATGTGAATCATCTGTCATCATCAATGTGTGGCGGTGAAAATTAACTCCAAATAAAAATCCATTTTTTTTAAAAATAGTGTGAAACGGCACATCCTAAAGGATAAAACGATCTTATAGACAAAACCAAAACCTTAAACTAAGCAGAGTGGTGTGCTGTTACCCTCTTTTCAGCAGACGAAACAAGATCTTTGCAGATATGGCTGCCTTGTTGTCGCAATAACGACGACAAGAGGAATTTCTTTCTCCTTTCAAAGAGAAAGAGAACAAAATATGACCCAGAAATCGAACGAATCGACTCACCCCATTGGAACTCTTGATGAGTCCAAATTTTGTACTCTACTACTAATCTCATTTTCACATGGAAGGCATCCCGTAAATATGCTCTAGATGAACATGTTGATCTTGAACCAACCAGAGTACTAAATTGTAGTTGTGGTCGCGGTTGTATATAGTAGTTATGAATGCTATAGATATTATAACGTGATATATATTAGACAAATAATTGTATTTTTATATTACATATACGATATTGATATCGTGATAATATTGAAAAGTGTTTTATTGTGTCAGCAATTTAGTACATATTTTATTTAATAAATATGAGGTGAATATAAATTTGTATATGTTCAAAATCTCTTAACCTTTAATAATGAAAGCGCATATCTATGACGTACGTAATGCTTAAATTTGAGACCTTAAAGAATAATTATGTCCTTTAACCACTAAAATCGTTTGGATCATAAAACCTAATTGTTTGTATTTTTCAAATTCCCACACCATTTTATCTTCTTCAAATAGGGAGAAGGTTCTTATTTTCTGCTTGTCCATTAGCGAGTTCAATCAAACCGTTTGCTGATCACTTTCTCTCTTCCAACTCGTCATATGGGTAATTTAATGTAAAGGGACAATCCTAATTTCCCATACCCATCTTCCAATGTTTGTAATCCTACATTGCTTAAGAATGAGTAGACAAAGACTTGCATATGGGTTGTGTACTTGAAGGATTGATTTGAGAATAAGATCTTATATTAGTGTTACATAGTGATCGCATAAATTATACAATTTATACACCCATAACTACCATCATCTAGTCATTGTGTTTACAATCAACATAGATCCTTAAACTCCAAGTAGACAACTATAGGGATATTTTAATAATTTTTATTTAAATTGGCCTTTTAATCATTTTAGTCCATAAAAGGTATTTTATTATTTCTACACTCGAGAGTACATCAAATATTTTATAGCTTATTAATTTCTACTTAATTAATTATTAGTGTATTATAATATTTTCCTTGCAATCTTACTCATTTATCATGACCAAAAGCATTTTGATCATTTTCTGATTTTTAAGCCCATAAAATAGTTTTTTATGTAAAATATTGATATCTATTTTATTGTGCAATCGTAATATTTTTCGTTATCTTTCAATAAATTTGTATCATAGGATTCAAGTTGTTTTTCTTTATTACAATAATGGCATCATTGAATTATAAAATTTTGATGTTGGATTAGAACAACAGACTTGCATTGTGGTACGTAGATGTATGAAAATTTACAAGGATTCTTTCATTGTGATGAAACGACAAAGAAAGACTGTCAAGTTTTATGTTTTATAGGATTCAACAATTTTCAAAGATGAAGTCTTTATTTTCTCCTTCGTGTTAGATGATATCATTATTGGTGAACACGTCTTGATTGAATCAAACAAAGGATTTAAGAAGCATAATAGAATTCAATTTTATAAACATAACGAATTTAAGAAGAAGAAGAGAGTTTAATTCATCATAGAAAAACAACGAAAAAGATAACATTTCTATTGATGATTGGGATTATGGTGTGTATGATATTGCTCGTGGTGATATAATTGTGAGCAAAGATGACACTTATGATGACATTAATGATATGAAGACTAAGTTACTTACTACATCTAAGCTTGGACAAAGCTTGGATTCAACTAGTCATCATTGTTGAAAAATATCATTTTAAGAGGTTTCGTGGTGGATAATATGTTCTCAAGATGAAGAACTTGTTCGTCGATGTGAATATTTATTTATTTTTTTGTTGAGTTTGAGTGTTTCATCGAATTTAGATTTTGTCTCGAACTTCTTGTACCTTTTAGAATTCATTTCAAGTGAAGATTATTTGAGTTTAATCAAAATTCAGTCCGATTCAAATTGATTAGGGAAAATCTATTTTGATTGAAAGTATGAAATATATTCTATTTTATGTTAATTGATAGTAAAAAAAACATATTTGCAATTGATTTCTTGCTATGCAAATTTTCAATGTAATCAAGCAACTGAAAATATAATTGAAATATTATATAAACACATAATTCTTATTAAATTATAAATTAATATTAAACACACCAACAATATATAATTATAAACTCATTTTTGGGGGGGAAAAGTGTCGCTAAAAGTCACCAATTTGTGTGTTTTATACAATCATGGATTAAGCACTATTACCCTTTAAACTATGTGTATCAAGTTGTTAATTTCTTTAAGTATTTTTAGGATGTTTTGTCTCTTAAAATTTAAATCATTATCTCATTTGTCTCAAATTATTAATTTTGTCAAAAAAAACTAAATTATATATTTAATCACTCAACTATGCATATGGTTTCGTTTTAACCACTTAATTTTTGTTTTCCAAAATTATCACTAATCTTTTTATTTTCTTTTGATCACTCGCATCAAAATCATTTTAGCTTTAAATTTAATAAGTATTTGGTAAAAACTTAATAAAAATGTTTTAAATATGCTGGTGACGGAATAGAAGGAATTTAGTAAAATTATCCCGACTAAAACTTGAAACAATTTATTTTAATATTTGCATCATGTAATAAAAATAAAATATTATCTATAGTGAGATTAATTTTCGATATTTTCTAAACATTAGGGAAATTAATATTACTCTTGATATTTTAAAAGTTATGTTTAATCTAGACTGTATTAACTACATCTGATAAAAAAAAGTTTTAATTTTTAAAAATAAAATTTATATTTTCAAGAACGTTTCAGTTTTAAACAAAATCCATCTGAAAATAGATTTTTTTTCCAGGGATTACATTTCAATTTGTAGTTTTAAACTCATAATTTTAGAAAACATGTGTTTAATATCATTTTATTAGGATGCTAATCATACAACTAACTTTTTGGAAAAAGAAAGCCCTAATGCAGATAACAAGGCTTTGGTAAAAAATGAACCTGCCTAAACTGATACCATGTTAACAAATATTTTGACTTCTATTAATCAAAGTGGCTCTACAATACATATATACACACACTTGTCTAACTGCTTAACAAATTATTCGCAACTGACCTCCTAAACTAATTAACCACTCAAGTTTATGAATTATGAGCGTCGGATATAATTTGATACAAGCATGAATTCTTTCAAGTGAACACACGAGAATTTTGAAATATTCTATTGTTATTGCTTCTAACATCCATCTTCCTTAAAATATGAAAATAGCGTATTGTCATGATTCATTGGCTGCTTGAGTTTACTCTGATATTTTAATGGATATAAACGTGAAAACTATATGCCACCAGCCATTGAATCCGCTGGGATTTGGAATCTCTATGGGATCCATTTCTTATATGCAAAGAAAGTCTAGCCCGAGAATAGTACAAGTTGAAAAGCTTAAAATTTAAATTTATTCTGTAGCACGAACTAAGTGGTCGCTGTGGTAAATGAATTGTTGTTATTCTTTGAGGACTCGACTTCGAACACTATAGATGTCAATGGTGTGAGCGTTCAATGTCGAGAGGTTGAGAGTTATCTTTGAACAGATAATGTCTTGTACTTACCCATATTCTGTAAAATATTAATAAAATTGATTACATAAACTAATTAATATAAGTAGTAAATTCTTAAAAATTATTTTTATAATGATATAATTAAATAAATCAATTAGATTAAATTTTAAAATCATAATGTCAAAATACACCCCTAGCATTAATCACTTTAAATTTTGAAAAAACTTTAATTCTTAATATTTTGCTATTGGGCAAAATGGTCTTTGATTTCAATGCTTATCACTAACACGGTGTTATATGTGTACGTAAGTAATAATGTGACATATATTACGTGTCAAAATAATAATGTAACATGTGACAAACATCCATATCATGTCATTATTTTTTAATATATCATGTGTTATCTCATCACTTTGAACTTGCGATATGTCTCATCTATATACATGTAACAAATATCACGTCATCGATAAATATTAATAATTCTTAATCAACTAACAATTATTATCTAACCAAAGATCATTTTGATCTAAAAAAATTAAAGAACAAAATACTACAAAAAATAAAATAAAAAAAACTATTTAATTAAACCTTAAAGTATTTTTTAACAATTTCTAACTAGAGAAAGGAACGAGAAATTTTGCTCCAAATGATAATAAACTCACAATCTAGAATTTTTTTTTGTCAAAACAACACATTTAATTGCAAATTATTAACGTCTTAAAGTAAATTTCAACATTATACAAGTTTCAAATTCCATTAATTTGATCTTGATATTTATTAAGAAATTATTTGTCACTAGTAATATTTATACGTTAATCATTTCATCGGTGCATACGCTGGAGATTCTGCAACCTGAATTTCTTCATAGATTTTTTTATGACAAGTTGTCTTTTGATAAATTTTTAATTAGCTTAATCCCGATTAGCGATGTTCATTATAGGCGCAAATTATTCCTAAACTCACATCTTCATATGATTCATTCTACTGCCTTTGGAAGTACGTAGTTTACTTTTATATGGTATTTTATTTTAATATATAATAATAACGTGATGCCAAATTAGTTTTCGTACAAGACAATTCTTCTCATATTGATTAAATTTATAAACAGAAGTCAAATACTTTTATAGTCCCTATATTATGTTTAAAATGTGATTTGGTCCTTATATTCTACTTTAATAATTTTTAGTCCTCCAATTTTTAAAATTTTAAGATTTTGGCATTGACCAAATAGTCGATGTAAATTCTGATAAATCTAATTTTTGTATTATGTGTAAGTTATTTTAAATGGCAAAGCTTGTTCAAAGAATAAAGTGTTGACAGTGGCATTCGATGGAGTGAAACCGTGAATGACGTTGGGACCAAATATTAAAAGAGACAAAGTATCTAAATTTAAAATAATAAAAATTTATTAAATATTTATTTTAAAAAATTAGCGGAGATTAAAGTTTAAATTAGTAAGTACTTAAAGCCCCTCCACTCGCTATATAAATTAGTAAGGTATAATTTAGAAACAATTTTAACTGTTAAGCATTTAATTAACCGTGCAATTAAATAAACTATTAAACTCTTACGTTTTAATGACTTTTATTTTTTTTTAAATTAATCATCGATATCCGATATGTTAATTAATTAATTCAAATCAAGTTTTAAAGAGGTCCATTATGGGGACAACATTTTATACTCAATATGTTTCATTCGCAAACATCAAGATCCGAACATTTGAGCTTGCTTAAAAAATTTAGTGTCTCATCTCACTATACCAACCGATCATTAGTAATGAGTTCTTAATTTTTAACTTATTACTAAATATATCTAACTTGTAAACCCTTCAATCAATTTCAAATTAAAGCAATCAACAACGAAGTCAATGACAATCAGGTACAATGGCTTTTGAGCCCCTCCAAAATATTAATTATTCAATTTAATTCATTTTTGGTACTACCCAAGAATTCCTGCATTAACCATGCAAACATATCAATCGGTTGACATAAGTAAAAATTTGATGACTGAAACTAAAAAGGGGGGCGCCAGGAGATTTGTTTTGATTTCGCATGAAGTTCTACCGTGCGGCAGTCTTAATATACGGCTAAGGAAAGGCGCTACCGGTTTTATTATTATTTTTTAACATTTCCGGCAAAAAATTACCTAAAACATTATTATTTCTATCTAAAACATTAATATTTTTCAACATTTCTAGTAAAGTTGTCCAATAATAACAAAATCAGTAGAAAAAAATAATGTTTTAGTTAGGGTTTTACCGGACATGTTAACAAAACCAATAAAGTGTCTAATAATAATAAAACCGGTAGAAATAATAATGTTTTAGATAATTTTTACCATAAATATTAAAAAAATAATAACAAAATAAGTGACATATTTCCTTAATTATATATTAAAACAGCAGCATTTTATACTTTCCATGATTTTCGTGGATATAAAATATAAAGCTTTAAAAATTGTATTATAAGGTCAACTTGCTTTGGTCGATTTATTTATTACTCTTTCTTTATCATTACTCATCTGATTTGCTATAATTGTACGGTTTAACGGCCAATTTTGAACGACAGAATAACCCGATAATCAAGTGTTAATTAAACATGAGATTATAATATGAATTAGTTATTAAAATTCGGGTAAGGTACACTAATGGTCCCCGACTATAGGGTATTACCTTTATGAATCTTCCGATTATTAAAAGTTACAAAATGATCACTCGATTATTCATATGTTCAAAACTCATATTTTTCTGTTAAAAATTTGATGACAGCCTGAGCTGGACATTGTCATGATGATTGTGATATAATAGTCATTTTAGATTATGTGATTATATTTTATCATATCAAAGCCAACATGTTAACGTCTAGCTCAAACTATCGTCAATTTTTTTTTACGGAAAATGATGAGTTTAGAATATATATAATAGTTGGGTGATCATTTTATAATTTTTAATAGTCAGGAAACTTAATAAAATAATGTCCTATAGCCAATGATCATTTTATAGCTTTTAATAATCATGAGACTCAACAAAATAATTTCTTATAGTCGGAGGACCGTTTATATACTTTACACTTAAAATTCTTGCTTATTTTAAGATGCTATGCATTTTAAACGGTGATATCTTTTATTTTGGGTTTAGATAACTATATTATATAAATACCTTAAATATTTTATCATCGTCGGTGTTTAAATTCTTTTGAATTAGGTATATTTGATCAGTTAGTTAAACTACTCATTTTTATTTTCTTATATTTCTTTAGGTCATAGATTCTAGATATATTAAGAGCATTCCATTTCTTTCCTCTATAGTCCCTTTCCCTCCCTCCTCTAATTAAGATTAGGATTAGATTTAGAATTTATTAAAAGAAAATTCTTTGATGTTACGGTAGGCTGCTGATGCTTTTATTATCATCCGCCTCTGATTATCTTTGAGATAATATACAATAGAATTTAAAAACAAATATATTTAAGCGTTTAATATTCTCTAATTTTCGAGTGAGGAGAGGTCTAAATCACATACTAATGTATTTTTCTCAAAATTAAAACAGTGTGAAAATTAAAATATTTTTATGATTTTTCATTCAAATATTTATAATTTAATATTACAGTTTAACTTGTTGAAAAAAAATCATCACCAAAATTAAACAATATAAACTGTTTTACTTTTTATACAAAACGAATTTGTCATCACCAAACCAAATTTTCTTTAGAAAGATATTAAAATAATGCAATTTAATATTTTCTTTCAAAGAAATGAAAAGTCTTCGTTTCTCCTAGACTCCTCTCTTTAAGTAAACATCTGCACCATTTCCTTGCCCGCACTTTCCTTTCTGCTCATTTCTTTTAATTTACTTGCACCATTTTTGGCGATGGCTACTTGTTCAGCGGACTTAGCTCCGCTCCTTGGCCCCAACGCCACCGCGGCAGCCGACTACATATGCAACAAGTTCAGTGACTCATCCTTTGCCGTTGACAACACTTACCTTCTCTTCTCAGCCTACCTAGTCTTTTCCATGCAACTCGGCTTCGCCATGCTTTGTGCTGGTTCAGTGCGTGCCAAAAACACCATGAACATCATGCTCACTAACGTCCTCGACGCTGCAATCGGCGGCTTATTTTACTACCTTTTCGGGTTTGCTTTTGCCTTCGGTTCCCCTTCCAATGGATTCATTGGTCGCCACCACTTTGGATTACGATCCGTTCCTTCATCTTCGTTTGATTATAGCAACTTCCTTTATCAATGGGCTTTTGCTATTGCAGCTGCTGGAATCACCAGTGGCTCCATAGCCGAAAGAACCCAGTTCGTTGCTTATCTTATATATTCATCTTTCTTAACCGGTTTCGTTTACCCTGTCGTTTCTCATTGGTTTTGGGCGAGTGATGGTTGGGGCAGTGCTTTCCGAACCGATGACTTCCTTTTCGGTAGTGGGGTTATTGACTTTGCTGGTTCAGGGGTTGTTCATATCGTAGGTGGTGTAGCCGGTTTATGGGGTGCACTTATTGAAGGACCGAGAATAGGCAGGTTCGACCATTCGGGTAGGTCAGTTACCTTACGTGGTCATAGTGCGACCCTTGTTGTTCTTGGAACTTTCATGCTATGGTTCGGTTGGTACGGATTCAACCCCGGATCATTCAACAGAATCTCCCCCTTTTACACCTCGGGAAACTATTACGGGCAATGGAGTGCGGTGGGGAGAACGGCGGTGACCACGACTTTAGCCGGATGCACGGCGGCGTTGACTACCCTTTTCGGGAAAAGGATCTTGACAGGCCATTGGAATGTGACCGATGTTTGCAACGGTTTACTCGGCGGCTTCGCTGCCATCACTGCAGGCTGCTCCGTTGTGGAACCATGGGCGGCGATCATCTGTGGGTTCGTAGCGGCTTTGGTGTTGATCGGTTGCAACAAGTTGGCTGAGAAAGTCAAGTACGACGATCCATTAGAAGCAGCTCAATTGCACGGTGGATGTGGTGCTTGGGGTGTTATTTTTACAGCTTTGTTTGCTTCGGAGAAGTACGTGAGGGAAGTTTACCCGAGCAGGCCGGTTCGATACGGGCTGTTCATGGGCGGTGGAGGGAGGCTGTTGGCTGCTCATATTATCCAGATTTTGGTGATTGTTGGGTGGGTGAGTGCTACAATGGGGAGTTTGTTCTATATCCTTCACAAATTCGGGCTTTTAAGGATATCAGGTGATGATGAACTTGCTGGTATGGACTTGACAAGGCATGGGGGACTTGCTTATGTTTATGATGATGAAGATGAAACTGAATCACAAAAACAGAGGACTGAGTTGAGAAAAATTGAAAGTCATCCTACTCCACCTTCTTCAGTCTAAACTTGTTTTTCTGTAATTTTCTGTTGTGTAAGATAATCAAAGTGCTTGACTTCAAATATTCAATGGTTTGATTTTTCTTCTTATGGGAACAATATTGGTCTTTGGCAGTTGGTGGTTTTACTAATTTTCTTCAATGGAAACATATTCATGATGGCCTTGTTTTGTCTTCTTTCGGAACAGAAAAACAACCAAATCACTACTTCTGTTTTCTCTCTTGCATCAATCTCGAGAAGTGGAATCCCTTCATTAATGGATCTGAAGGCGTATGAATTATTCACTTATTTTGAAGGTAAAATCTAAAACAAGTTCAAGTTAGGGAGAAGAAGGTTTATACTTTGCCTGGCCAGAAACATGACCCTTGCCTTCATATAATCTCAAATCACTGCATTTATCCAGAAACTTGTCTATGATAATTAATGGTTGCGGGTCCCTTTCTATGTAGAGAGAACCATTACGAATCTTTTACTAGTCTGTAAAGAAATACCAACAAGTGAAATGACGGTGAGGCTTTCCTTCTTCTAACAATACTTCTTGTATATGTATACAACTCTATACAAAGCTTAACAAAAAAATCATTAAACCATCTGCATGTTGCCTAGTTGAAGCCTAAGGCATCCTTTTGACATTACTTCTTATATATACACATATTTGTCTCGAAATATTTTCAAGGCCTGAGCAAAAACTTAAAAATAAGCCCCTATAGAATTAAAGTATATTCCATTACTTTGAATAATTAAATTAACATTACATTAATAAATCATAGAAAAATGATCAAATTTTGTCATTCGTGTCATTTTTATTATTTTGTTAAAAAAATACCTTAAATACAACTAAGAGAGAATAAATATAAAAAAGCTGAACGTGGATATGATATGAAGCTTGATTTTAAATAATAAATAAATAAAAATAAAGAATGATGTATTATTTTATCGTTAGATTGAGATTGAAGAAGACAAAAGGTTAAAGAATGTTTGATAAGTTGAATAATGATATTTGAAAAAGAGAAAAAAAATATGGTTATATTTAATTCAAAATTGAATGAATTCATAAGAAAGTTGAAAGAAAAAAAGTTAAACATGAAAAATTTTATGAAATTGAGTAAAATTAGGGACCTAATTATAAATATAGAAATTGAGAGCCCAATTATAAATATAAAAATTGGAGGCCCATAGCTACTGCTCATGGTGCTCTCTTAAGGGGTTGTTTGGTTCAAGGAATGTGAGATTCCTATGGGAATGAAATCCACATTCTCATGTTTGGTTAGCCGGGAATCTCATTCCCGGTAATGTTTTATTACCAATAGTAGATTTTTTTGGGTATATTACCGGGAATGTCATTACATCTCTTTCCTTAGGTATTGTTGGATTACCAGCGTTTTGGACTAAAATGCCCTTAAATTTTTTTCTTCAAAAATATCATTCTTCTGTCATTGAATAATAAAAATTCTACGAATGTTAAATTATAAATTTATCCTTAAACTATTTTAGATTTACAAAAAAATCTATAATTAAAATTTTTATATAAAGTTCAGGGGTTAAAATAAAATTTTACCATTTCATTAAACATTTTTATATTTTCAATTTTGTAAGAAAAATATATATAAATTTTATGAATTTAATTTTTTAAAGAAAATATATAAATATTTTCCAACTTGTTAAAAAAACAAATATATAATAAGGACAATTTGGTCAAATATACATTCCAATAATCTTTTATTCCTTTAACCAAACACGATAATCTTACATTCCTGCTAAACTAATCAAACACAAAATACAACATTCTCAGTAATCCTATTCTCTGATAATCTTACATTCTCACTGGTAATCTTACATTCGGTGAACAATGCATGTACAGAGCGTAAAGATTGAAGAGAAATGGTTGGTTTTAAGGAGTTAAAAGAAATATGGAGATGGAATAGAAACCTAGGTGGGCAGTTAACACATTATGTCAGTTTTTTCACAGTAACAACTATTAATATCGGTGAACGATTTATTATAAATCGATAACATTAATTATCAATTTGTTATTTTTAAAATTTCAGTAGAGAAAACAAAAACTTAATTAACATCATTGACTATTTGTGTAGTTTACCCTAATATTTAAGAGTTTATGATGTTTACATAAACTGTTTTCTATTTAAAGATTAGAAGTTGTGTTCCACTTGGTATAGAAAATATCAAGGAAGTAGGCTATGATTTTATAGTCAAACACACAAATGGGACCAATCTTGTTGCCCTTTCAATTGGTAACCAACAACATGACAAAAGTAATTGCCCAAATTCATTAATCTGGTTTTGTTCTTCTCAAATGACAACCCTAGATTTCTACAAAATTCAATTTGGAGGCATATACCATGAATGTTTCAAGTTCCAAGTCCATCCATTCAGATTTGACTTATTAATTTTTTCTCCACAGTAAAAAAAATAAAGGGTAAACTACACGTTGGTATCCCAACGTTACGTTTTTTTATCCACCATTAAAAATTTAACAGAACTACCGACGTGTTTTTTTTAAAAAAAAAATTAATGATGACACATCAACATCATTATTAATTTTTTAACAATAGATGACCCAAATGAAAGCAAAACGTAACGTTAAATATGATCTTGAAACAAAAAAATAATTGAGTGACCAAAACGGAATAAAAGTGATAATTCATATACTAAATGTACAATTTACCCAATAAATAAATAATGAATCAGTGTTCAGAAATGATTTAAATTGTATTAGTTATGAAAATATATTTTAAAAACTATATTTTAAATATATTTTATAAATTTAATTATTTAAAATAATTATGATTAAAATTTAAAAAATAATCACAAACAATTAATAAATAAAAATTAATATTTACGAGAGCTACGAAAATTAATGAATTTATTATTAGTATATTAAAAATGTATTAAATTAATTCCTCAAAAAATGTATTGAGTTAAAATATATATTATCAAAGATTAAATTAATTTAAATAATATTATTATTGATATAATATATAAGAAAATATAAAATTAAACATATTTCAAATACTTTATATTTAATTTATAAATGAGTAAAAATTCAAACGATTTAAATATTGAATAGGAAAAGAAAGAAAACAAATATTTTCAGTTTCTAGTTTTCTGTTCGCATCTCAAACTTTTTTTAGTTTATATCATTGTTAGATTTTTAAAATATATATATTTGAGCAAATAAAATGACAACACGTGTCCATATTATTATTTTGAGTAAATTATAAAACAAATCACTTTCATTTAACTTTTGTACACTTTTCCTCACTAAATTCAAAAAATCAAAATATTTTGTCATTTTCGTCTTTATTTAATTAAAATTTGGTCAATTTCGTTTTTGTTTAATTAAGATGTGATCATTGAGGGTTAATTTGATGTTAAACCTTTAACAAATTGATGATGTGATACATTGAATTTATATAATTAAAAATGATAAACTGCATGAATGGCCACTAATGTTTGAGTAAATTTTTGTTTCCCTACTAAAGTTTTAAAAGTAATAAACTAATCACTAAAACATCAAATAGGTCATTGAACAATGATTTTATATCTAATTTACCCCAAAAATTTTTCTAATTTTTTGTTTATCATTCGAAATATTCAATTGCAAAAGAATGGAAAAATTAGAAAGCTTTTGGAATAAATTAGATATAAAATCATTGTTCAAGGACCTATTTGATGTTTTAGTAACCAATTTATTATTTTTGAACTTCAATGGGGAAATGAAAACTTACTCAAAAAATAGTTACCATTTATGTAGTTTATTCTTTTTAATTTTATAAATTCATTGTGTCACACCAGTAACCGTTAAAGATCTAACGACAGTTAACCCTTAGTGACAACATATTAATTAAATAAAATAAAAGTGATCATGTCACAACCCTAAATAAAAATAAAATAATATTAAATTAAATAAAATTTTAATTTGGTTGAACTTTAGGTGCAAAATTGTACGTTTCTGAAACATGTATACCGTTTTAGGAAGTTGTAGAAAGTTTAGGGACTTAACCCCAAAATTTTCCATTCTATGTCAACAGAGAAAAAAATAAAAGAAGAAATGGATTAGGTGATGCAAGGTTCGAAACCCCCTACGTGAAGGTCAGCCATACCTAGTCATTTAGGCTAGGGTACTATTTGGGATATTTTAATTAAAAATATGTTATGTTGGTTTAAAACCCGGGTTAACCCCCAAAATCCCCAAATTAAAAACCCAAATCACTAACACCCAACCGAAACCCCGTCGGCCCTCTTCGAATCATCGCAGTCCAACTACCGTTCAGCTCGCCACCGCCACCATTTGTGTTCGACGTTAACCGGTGACTAAAACCCGAGCCTCCTCGCACCGAACAAAGTCATGAATCATCATTCGAAGCATCACCGGAAAGAATGAGCCCTCGCCGTGATTTTCTTTGATTTTTGGCCGATCCGGTGACCGATCTATCTCACCGCCACTCCCATCAACTTTGTCGGCGATATACGACCAAAACCCAATCGATTTCACTCATCATCGACGCGCCGTCATTGATCGCCATTGAGGTAAGTTGTCAAAGACTTTTTTTGGCGATTGTAGCATGTTGTTCCAGCGAATTTTTAGTTGATGCAGGTTGTTTTAAGTATGTAGTTGCTTAGGGGAGAATCAGCCGTTAAAAATGGCCCCCATCGCCGTCACATGCGCTGGCATTGCGCGTGGGGCTCCTTCGTTGGTCCAGGAAGTTTTTGGAACTGGTCCAGTCAGACTGAACCGGTCTAATCAAATTGTTCTGAACCGAGTTAACCCGCTCGATTCAACCTGAACTGAGTCAACTCGTCAGAGTCAACCCTTTGACTTCGACCAAAAAGTCAATTTTTTTGAAAGATCGTGTTTTATGTTTTTTGACGTCTTAAGTCTGAATCTGAAGTCTGTTTTGTCAAATTCGAACCCGAAAGCCTCCGAATTGACCGTCAAACTTAAGTATGCATATGTACTTAAGTAATTTGGTTACGAATAATTAAATTAAGGTTAGATACTAATCAGATATTGTTATTTGATGG